GGGCAGATCAATCTGGACGCCTTTATGTATTGAAATTCGAACATTAATAGTAGTTTGCACTTCCACACTTTTGATCCCATCAATATCTCCGAATAAACAAAACAAAATTGATTCGTCATAACTGTTCACATTTCCCGATAAATGTTCACATTTCCCGATAAATCCGTTTGACAACTGAAATCTCTCGATTTACTGAATTCAGTAGGAGTTGAAGGTTCAGTCTCATACGTATCCATGTCAATCGAGGCAGTCTGAGTTCCAGCAAATTGTATTTCGTTTACTGCATTATCCAAGGTGACTGGTCTTTGATAGCGTATTTTGTTTTGACGTTGACGGTTTGGTGACGTTGAAATCTGGCAATTGACTGCTGCTCACTTTTGACTACTCTCCGTTGAGAGAAAATTGTAGGGATGTATCCAGGATGCTGTGGATGTTCTGATTTCTTCTTACCAATAAAATGAGCACTGCAAATTTTTGTTGAGGTTTTGGGTTCGAAATTTTCCGGTGTTTTACCGAAAGTAAAGAGGTTATGTTTCCCTTAATTTTCTGTTTACTCCATATTTTATAAGAAATATCTAACATAACGAACAGGACGGAATTCCTAACTGAACATTTTTCATCATGAAGAGGAATTTTCTATACTTACGTGTATTTTTTCACAGCATTAATCCATAATTCACGCGTTTGTTGTATCCAAGGTCTATACATACTGTTTAGAGGAAAAGAATAGAATTTTATTGGCTCATTATTGTCAACACTCTGCGGTGTATTTGAACACCCCATGATGCAACGCCTCAACCTCGATTTCGCCATGATTATTCGTACCAGAATTAGTTCTTAACAATTTATAATAAAAATTTTAAGATTTTTGTACGTAAGAACCCATAGAAAAAGTATATATTTAGTACGAATTTTTTCTCCTAGGCGACACCACTTTCGCCATTCAAGTTCCCTATATCTCAATCTCCAGCTTTGTTGACAGAACCTAGTGCTCTTCATTGCCCCTCTGTGGGTATCATGCGCGACGAAGCACTGCCAACAAACATTCCGTTCCGCAGCAGAAGCAGCTCGCTACACTCACTGCCGTGCAGCGTATTAGGGTGCTACCACAATGGCCCCGAAGTTTGCGAAGCATGAAGCAGCATTGCGCGGAGTGCTGCGTGCGTCAGAAAAAATATGAGCGCTCGGGCGCGCCGATTCAACTGCGTTTGGCAGATTTAACGCAATCCAAAGTGGCAGAATAGTCAAAATTCATCACGTTTTAGGTTACGAACAAGGAGTGTTATCCATAATTATTCTGTTAATTTATGGATCTATTCCTCAGGGGATAACCCGAGGTTTCTTCTTCGCTTCGAGGCTATTTCAGATCTCCCCTGCGGTCTTAAATGAGAGGCTCAGAGCGATCCTTTGGCTCTGGGTTTTCTCCGGTATTTCAGGAGAGGACCCAGCATGATGCTTTATCCTAGGGTTGTCAACAGGTTCTTTCTTAGATTTCGGAGCAGTTTTTCAACTTTAAGGTTGATCTTAAAACGTCTCGGGGATGTCTAGCAAAGATTCAGAGATTTCACGTACGAAAAAATTTAATAGACAAACCTAACGAATTTGGTAGAATTTTTAAAAAAATTTCTATTGAACTTTCTATCATTTTTTGACCGTCTCCATTGAAATGTTCAATGGAAAATATTCCATAGAAAGAGTCAACAGAATTCGATTTTTCTATAAAACTTATTCTGTTTTCATACGTGTTGGATTCAGTATGAGAGTCTTTTAATCTTCAAAATCCAAGGTTCCAGCTTCTTGCAACTTATGAACGAGAATGGCCACACCGAATTTCAAAAAAGACCAATTTCCTACTCGTTTGTCAATAAAATAATGTGTACTCTCTGTAAATATTTCATTTTTATTACAAAATCAAACATTCCATGAAAAATTCAATTCGAACAAATATTTAATCTCAATATACTCAGCTGTGGTCGAGACTCCTGCATAACAAAAATGTGAAATTGAGGACAATATTCTTAAATCTCAAAAATATTTCTTTTGTAAATAACTCTTATTCCCTCAGCTACAAGACGAACGATCTCACTCCTCTCCACCTAAATATTCTCTCGGGACATCAGCAATTATTCTCATTATTTTTTTTTTGAATAATCGTGAGCAGACTGTAGAGTTTCGATTAAAAATATTGTCTGGTATTCTTCAGGGACCAAGTCTAGGGCATACTTCAGCATAATTAATTTCGGATCCATGGTATTATGGTCAACAACTGCTTTTTTTGTCTTTCCCATGGATGATATGTTTAAACACCTCTGTCGAGCTCTCGGCAATCATTGTTAAGCCATCAACAACTGGAGATTGGTCTGAATTTCGTTTTCGGGCAAATGCATCAAGAGGGGGCACTATTTTTCGTGTTTGAGTTGATTCAGGTGAGGCATTATGCGATAGTGATGAGTCTCCCTTAGCAGGATTCTCATGTTTCGCTCCTGGAATATTATTGGTCATCGGTTTCACGAGTTTGAAGTAGGTAGAAAATCATCAGTCAATTCCACATCATTTCATTTTTATATTATGGATATTTTCCCAATTTCAATAAATTCCTGGTCACGTATGAAACAGTTCGATAGAAAAACCTAGCATTTTTTCCAAGGAATTCTATTGGAGTTCCATTAGAATTCTATTGAGAAATTCTATTTGTTTTTTGCACGAATTTTATTAAAAATTATACAACTCCTCCCTACGTTTTTCAATAGGTATTTTCTGTAGAAAAAAAGCCTATAGATGTTGATTTTTCTTATAAGAATGATTGGATATGAATTTTCTGTTTTTTTTCTCTTGGATGTTATTATGAGAAATTTTTATATAAAAATAAAAATCTATTAACTTCTTTCTATCGAATATCTCTTAACAAAATGACCTGGTAAAGTTGCATAATCTTCTATAGAATCATCGCAAAAAAGAAATCAAATTTTCTAATAGAATTTTCATAGAATTTCAAGAGAATTCTCATAGAATTACGAAAAAAATTCAATAGAATTTTATAGAGGAAGTGCTAGGTTTTTTAATCATTTTTTTTCCATGCGTGTTATTTTCCTTCATTTATCTCAATTATGACTTTACGTTCAGAAAGTGCTTTTAGTATGAAATGACAGAAGTTTTGAGATTTTTCAGTAAATACATTTCTCTGAAAATTCATATTCAATCGTTTCAATAATGAAAATTTTTCACCATCTCACCACTCTTCATCAATAGTCCTTTGTCGCCCATAAGGTCATTGATATTCCACAGGCCGTCACTAAGAGATGGGGTTTCCATTTTATCAGAAGTTCCGCCCTTTGATTTTACAGTCGAAGCTTGTTCAACAGTGGAAGCATCCTCTTCATCACCAAAAAGGAGAGAAACCCCATCAGTTGAATCCATGATGTTCAATGATTCACTGTCCCCCGTTATCGTCGGCGGTACTTGGATCAGGAGGACTGGCTCAGTTTCTGTTTCTACTTTGGCTGGAGAAGAATTGAGTTCACCCTTAAGCTTCATGATGTTCAAGGAGCTTGGAACTTTGATTTCCGTTTCAATCCAGCTGTCTCGATTTGACTGACTCCTTCCACATTTAGCATCTTTACTTAGATTTTCTTCATCCGGAGATTTTCCAGGAAAACTAAATGTTGTCCTACCAAGACGGAGAAACATAAGTGAAGTTGCCACTCCATTTTTTTTTTCAATTGTATGGTAAATACCTTCGTCGCTTAATTTCCGTCTTTAGAAACTTCAGAGACTCGTAATAGATTGAGGGACAGATGTAGGACGATTCAGGGTTTGTAAGCAAGTGCAATTCTTCAGATTTATTATACCTGCTGAAGGAATCTCTCAATGATTTGAAGCGAGTAGCAGCAGCTTTACCTGGAGTACCAATTTTTAAGTAGAATGCTTTTTCAAACCTGTCATTGGTGGTTTGAGTAGTTGTCCAACGCTTTTCCAAGCTGCTTTTTTGGCTGTTGAATTATGGTACTGCTTATCAGATTTTTTCCAAAGCAAGGGATTTATCTCCACAATTTTTATCAATTTCCCTGTTGGATCTTTACTCATTTTTGATATTTTTTGGTGATATTTCGATGTACGTGAAGTCGTTTACTAGGGGATAACACGTGAATGTGTAATTTTGATGATTTTTCTGACGAATCCTGAAGATACGAGGCCGGAAGGTACGAGGCTAAACAGAGCCATAAATCGAGATACAATTTGTCATTTCATCCGTGAAAAATGCATCCACAAAATGTGCAATTCTTCATTTCACTCGTCAGGGATCACCCAGAATTATGACAACAGTTTCGAAAGAATCAGTGCCGTGAGGAGCACATCAAATGAACCTGGGACCACATTGGAGCTTGCCTGGAGCCTCCCATTTCAGGTATGTCAACAAGATCAACGATGAAAGGGGACATTTTTCTATTACTTAAATGGAAATGTCTGTTTCCATTCATAGGAGTTGCAGCAGCTACTAATTTCAAGACATTGGAGACGTTATTCAATAAATGCCATAAATTTGGGAAAGACACAGACCATTCTGGTATTAATCCTGGATGAATCTACACCCCACAGTGGCAACACTACACAGATTCATCTTTTTTGAGGCACCAAATACCTCCACGCAGGTGAAAAAGAATTGATTTGAAAAAATTGTTAATTCAGGCAACATCTATCGTAATTTGGAAATTGAAATTATATCTGACTTTCCCATTCATTTGTGGATGTATCCAGTACTATCAGCAGTATACCAGATCCAATCATCAGAACTGTTGATCAGACTGAATCACAGAAGCAAAGAGGAGATGGAGCTCAGAATCGTGATGATGGGGACAGACAGACTAATGGTTCAGGTGGAACTTCTGATGACAAGATCAAATATTACATGGATTTGACCAATAATGGCAAGCTCTATTCACTTTTTCCATTCAAAATACCTCAGTAATTCTCATTAGCGAATCAATGGACTATTTTCAGGTTCAAGTGAAGAAAACAGCGACAATGATGATGATGATTTCGAGAAGCTCTTCCCTCGGTTCCATGTCACGAAGGATGGCTGTTTTTATCCTGTGGATGATGCACCCCCGGAACCCGAGGTATACCCTCCATCCAACATTTCTACCACTGAGCCTGGGACAGGAAAGATCAAAAATCCATTTCATTCGAACATGAAACGAGAGAAATATTCAGAATTTTCGACTGAGTTCCCCACTCCACCACTTCCCATTCCTAAAAAAAAATTAAAGTGAATAAGGAGACTGACGAATTCTCAATGAATGCCCCGCACACATCAAGCACCTTCGATACTCCTCAACGCTCATCTCATGCATGTTTGGAGACAAGAGGTATTTTGGAGATTCTATCAGCATTTATTCTGGCATTGCATCAAATACCGAAGGAATTGATTTCTGAATGCTTCACTGAAATGCTGAGAATGGCTTTCCCAAAAGAAGCCATGAAATCGACTAAGGAGAACCTAAAACTCGGAGAAAATAGCATTGTTTCCTGATCATGTTGTTCCTTTTCTTTCATTCCTTGAATACGTTCAACTAATTCTATTTTTTTTCTGTTCAGTAATTGAAACTTCAATGAATTAAAAATTTTCAAAGGCCAACAGAAAAGCCTCAATTTTTAGAAAATTCCGAAGAGGTTATCTGCTAGAATGAATTTTTTAAATATTGTTTCTAAAGCAGAACCATATTACTACATTGAGTTCCTTCGGCATCGAGCTAATTCGATAATTTTAAGCAGAAAACTTCTTCCAAAACTTGGGAAATAATTGACTTCCAGCAAACCCTGAATTTCCAACAGATGAAGAAAAATTTATTACTATTTGATTTTGAAATTGAAAAATTTGTCTGATGCACTTTTCATTAAATAAATGAATTTGGAATGATAGAAATACGGAATAAACAATTGTGGAATTATCTCAAGACTGAATTGTAGGGGCATGTTATTTTAAAAATTCAACATTCATCTACATGGACAGAAAATTCTTCTCTCATTTTCCACTGAAATCTACATTCGGACAGTTGGCTATTTGGATCAGTCGATCTACAGAGTTACTGTGCATTTGGTATATTAATATTGAATGCTCCTAATGCTGACTGCCATTGCCAAGGTGGCTCACTTGCTCCACTGCGAGATAGAAAATAATCTCGTAAAAGATCTCGTTGCTCTTGTGCCGTTCTTCTCGCTTCAGCTGATATTTCACTATCCTGGAAACGTAATGGTGGAATATCCCCGAGAATCCTTCCATCAGTTGGCCGAGAATATTTTCTGTATCGTGTTGGCAAATTTTCTTCCTCAGTCATTATGAAATTATGAAGACAAACTAGGGCGTTCACCATGTATGTAGTATTTTCAGGATTACAACTCAGTCCTCTTCTAAGAATTTGCCATCGTGCTTTGAGGATATCGGAATTATTTTCGATTATTCGACGAGCTCGGGGAGGCGATAATTGAAAACTCGTTCTCCGTTTCCTAGTTGACGACTTGAGTATGGGTGCATAATATATTTTTGAAGTGGGAATCCGTCGTCTGCGATGAAAAAATAGGGTAGAAGCGTTGGAGATCCTGGGAGGGGCTGAACGGGTGGGAGTTGTAATTGTTCTCCTTCCAAGTATTGGGCTAAAATGGTATTTGACCACACACCAGAATCACTGATGGATCCTATAGAGAGGAAACCATTTAACTCCACAATTTCAATAAACATCCCCAGAATACGACGATAGGGGTACAATGATGTCTCACCGTATTGTCCCACATCGACCCACGTAAATTTATAATTGGCATCGCATACTGCCATTAAATTGATACTGAAATATTTCTTCAAGCAAAAAAAAGAAGACCCTGAGTTTGGGGGACTCCGGATTGGAATGTGGCATCCATCTAAGGCACCAAGACAATGGGGAAATTGCCATTTAGCTTGAAAAGCGTGGGCGATTTCCATAAATCAATTTTCATTCAATATCGGCAGATATATTGGCTGTATAATGCCCCAAATGGCTCGACAGCCTTTATGAATCACTTTCCGAGCAGTCGATTTGCCTACTCGGAATTCCCAAGCTTTGGAATTATCGCTGTCTCCTTGAGCCAAATATCTGCGAGGAACAGAAATTAAGCATCTATTTATTTGAATCACCGGCTGATAAGGCATTAAACTTGTTTAAGCTTTAAATAAAGCATGGGAATCATACGATAATGTTATAGCAAGCTGGATCTCAGGGGACAATGGCTTCCTTATGCTATGTTTTATAAGTCGTGGTAAAACCAACTCCAGTAATTTCTCAAACTGATGAGGCCACATTCTTGTAAATTCTGTAAGGGATTTTCGCCAGTGCTCCACCAGCAAATACCCCAAACTATTTTGGGCATCTCCTCTATCGCTCAATTATGTCGGGGGCCAGCTGGATTTTCACGGAAAATCCAACGGTAAACCGGCCTCAGAGGATAACTCGTCTACCCTGAGGACTTCTCGTGGCGGGTCTAACCATGCTGAGCCAGCATCAGCGTAAAACGGTAGAGTGGGCGAGCTCCACCATACTAGGAGTATTTCACTCGATCGATCTTCGTCTTTTCAGGCGAGAGACTTCGATAAAGCGTATCTTCCAGGAGCCATTCCTTCATGTATCTTCCGCCGAGGATGTTTCCATTCCTCTGACGTATTCCTTTCCTCTCCAGAGTGGCTCAACTCTGGAGAAGTCGACCATCACTTGCGAATCCTTCCCACTCCTCGGAGCGCCGAACACTGAGAGGCACATGCGACACAGGTATCCGGAGACTTGTTCTCACCCACCTGTGCCCACCCTAACTCAACCTCAATGCTCGGTAAACGCACTATCATCGCGGGCCAACACCCAGAGTACTCGTCGTGGAGGTACGTGCGATCGGGCCTCCAGGAGTCGGCCTAACTCCCGGCCCACGGATCCACGCCAACACCACTTCTTTCGTCCGAAGTGATGGATCCCTGAGGACATGGAATTAAAACACTCCACGTCCTCAAAGTAATCCGATCCTTCTGTTTGGAACGCGGAAGCGTCCCATTCTCTCGCTGTTCCGGATCTTGTCCTCACAACGGACCCCCATAATCCATAATGGACTAATGCCACTTACAACCGTCGTCGAGGACGCAACGATTTTCATCCGCTCAACTCCAGTGCCTGTCACCGACTGTCTCGAAATCTACTAGGGCCTTCTCCCCCTAGTCTGAACATCTCAGCGGCGGTGGGTCATCCGTTACTCCACCACCACCAATCAGCTCGACGGCAATCGAGGGGGCACTAGTCCTCTCACCTAGCCGTTGGTCCCTAGTCTAAGTCGATAGCGCC